CGTACATAACATAAAAAGGGGATTTTTGGCACTTCAAGGGGGCGTATCTAGGGGGTATATGAATTTGGGGAAAATTTTTTGATGCCAAACGTTTTATTTTGGACCCCTCCACCACATCCAATAGGAAATTTGAAAAAAAAATCTAACCACTGGGGATCTTTACTGGTTAGAATTAATCATTTTGGCTTAAAATTAATCCAAGTGTTCTAGAAAAATGTAATTCATAGTGATCCACTTCAGCTGTTTATGATACGAATATGTTGCCATATTTTTTTTATACATACGGTGTTTGACTTAAATCTCGTGATAGTTTTCGATAACGGCCTGCTATGAAAATCGTTGGTCCCGAAATTAAGTAACGTGTCAATTTAATAGGTCCGTTTGACGGTAATTTTGGGGGGACGGCAAGATGTTTTTTGTATTCATCAATTTTCAAGTTTTTTGGATAAAAATGCTTTTCAAATAAGTTCCGTGTTATGACAGATACATTTTTACTGATGAAGAAAATTGAAGGTGATAATAGTTTAAATCTTTAAAACGTATTCCAATGTTTTTGATCTAACCTTTTTTTGTGATTTTCATTTCCAAATGAAAGCGGTTTCACTGCTAATAAATTATCAATATTATCACAATCCATGAATTCATAAAACAAATTTATCATGATTCCATTTTGATTGTACTCCATTTGCCTGTTTGTTGCCAAGCACAATTTTCTGTTGAACAAAGTTTTGAAGACATCTTTTATCGGAATACCTGGGTGTGTATCTAACATTTGTAAAAAGAAATTCAATAAAAGTTACAAGCATCTTCAAAATAGACTAAGATTATTTGACTAATAAAAATAATAAACAATAATAATAATATATATATATGATTGCTCGAGAATGAAAGCGAGACTTCTATTCACAACTTATTGAAATGTAACACCACCGTACAAAATATGCTGACAGTCAGCACTTTTCGTATGGCGGTATTACATTTCAATGTGTTGTGAATAGAAGTCTCGCTTTCATTCTTGTACATTCATATATATTTGACTAATAGACTAATTTTAGCAACACGTAATGAGAAAAATATGGAAAATATGAATGTTGATCTTACCTTCATTCACTTTGCCTGGAAATGTTTGTATCAATGCTATCCATATTGATAGTTCACGCACCAAAAGTTCTATAGGAATTTGAACCGACGTATATAAAGAATTACATTCGTAATTTCGAAGATTTGAATCCTCGATTACATTTTTAGAGACAGTTTCCATTGACTGAAAAATTCCCAAACATGCAATGCATATACTTTTTTTCGATCGTTTAATTGCGATTGTATCCGTACCTACGGATGTATCCATAGTTTCATTTTTATTATTTTGTGCCGTGTATAATATAATTATATTTTCAATGCTTTCATTTTGATACCGTAGTATACAAATCGAACAAAGTTCCAATTTTTCTAGATATTCACGAATTTCCAACGACGTCATTTTTCCGCCAGTATTATTGCCAACAACGTGCTCCTGTCAAATAAAATATAGATCCCTATCGGAAAATTGACATTTGTACAATTTGACATTTTGAATTGAATACACATAACACAAAAGTGTTTTTGATTCTGCTGTGTAATCATTGAAACCTAAATCTTTCGTCTGAATCATTGTAAAAGATGGAAACTATTTTGGGAATTAAAGGATCTGATTTTGTAATGCTGGCTGCAGATTGCACCCAAGCACACTCAATCATCTCCTTGAAAGAAGGTATGTCGCAAAATTATTTATTTCTTCTTTTGTTTGCTCCAATGACTTTCCAAAATTTATTTCAACCTAACCTAAGATTACTGTTTTAGACGCCAAATTTGTTGAAGTAAAAGAAACCGAATTTTATTATTTACGTTACAGATCAGGATAAAATACATACCATTTCCGACAAACTTTTAATGGCTGCAATTGGGGATACTGGTGATGCTATTCAGTTCACTGAGTATATCTCGAAGAATTTGGCATTGTACAAAATGCGTAACGGGTATGAACTAAGTCCAAAATCGGCTGCTCATTTCACTCGTAGAAACTTAGCTGACTACTTGCGCAGCAGTACTCCGTACCACGTCAATTTATTTGTGGCTGGATACGACGAAAATGAAGGGTCCGAATTGCACTATATCGATTACATTGCAAACGCTAAATCGTTGAATTATGCTGGACAAGGTTATGGTGGTATATTTGCTGCTAGTATTTTTGACCGATACTGGCACCCAAGTAAGAATATTTTATGGATAAAAAAGTCTATAAATGATTTAAATTTTATTATCATTATTTTTACAGAAATAACGCAGGCTGAAGCCTATGATATTCTTCAGAAGTGTGTTGCAGAAATACAGAAGCGTTTGATAATCAATCTCAGTAATTTCAAAGTAGCTGTTGTTGATAAAAATGGCGTGCAACGTTTGGATGACATTTCATCGAAATCTCTTTTGAACTACGTTCCATAAAAATAAATCATGAAATGATCAGAAAATTTCTAAAAAATATTTTGATACAAAAAATAAATAATCCGCTATTAATCAATGAACTCTGTTTTTTTGATATCCAATTAAAAGTGAGACAAACATAAGTATTATCGGTTTTGTAGCGTGAAATTTTATTTGCAATAAATTAAAATGTGTGCTTTTACTGTAAAATTTACATAGACATGTTACATTAAAATTAGTTGGCGATGAAGTACACATATCTATAGTATAAAATTTTAAATTTTTATTTCGACTTTTTTGGATCTTTTTTCTTCGATTCTTTGTTATTCTGTTGATTGGAACCATTTCCACTAATGTTTTGATCCTTGTTTTTCTTTGATGATTTCTTCTCTTCTGGATTATCTTGATACCTGTATTAAGATTTTCGAAAAAAATAGAACGAAAACAATGTGAACAAGAATAATCATTGCTATCTCAATAGAAGAAAAAGAATGTATCTAAATTCAAAATATATCAACTTACGCAAAAATCAACTTCAAATCTCCCTTTATCAATGCAATCAAAAGTGGAGCCCCGGCACAAGCTGGTACGAGATATAAAAGAGCCGGTTGTGCATGTCGAAATATGTGCATTACCAAAATAGTTAACATCAATCCCAAAAAATAGGCAACGTATGCGGTATAGAAATACGTTCGGGATTTTCGTTTCAAACTATTATCAAAACGAAGTAGTAAAGCAATAAATATTCCAGGGATTACAATGTCTCCCAGTCCTAACATGGCGAAATTAGTCGCATTGAAGCCGTTCACAAGAAGATCTTGAGGAAAAACTAGTTTGATTGGAGCATCAAAACTTTTTGCGACAGTAACCTTTACGTAATATTACAATAATGAATTTAATGTTTAGTAAGTAAGATTTTATTTTCCCATTTACTCACCATCACATTAGTACCAAAGACCCAGAACACATCATACACGAACAGTCCAGATAATAAAATAAGTCCGGTTACAACGTTATTTAGATGCAGTAATTCAACACCATTCACAGCGAATGCTACACCAAAAAGGTTGTTAGCGATCCAATGTTTTTTCAATAAATACCAAATACCAATAATAAGCGCAATGATTAAACAAACAATATCATGAGTTGAAAAGTCATAGTCAATGAGATCTTGCTTTTGATTTCCTTTTCCTTTTGTGAATCCAATATGATATGAAATGTTGGGAATGCTTGATGGAATTAATGATCCAATGATTGGGCTCAGTAGATGAGCTAATGCAAGTACTTCCAAAAAGAAGAAGTATGCAGTAAGCAATAAATTTATGTGATCTTTTGAAAACAATTTGAAAACGATGTAGAGTCCGAAAAGCGCCACTGAAGCGATTACAGGGAATAATAATGCATCTTTTGAATTCATTCTTTCCAATTTTTTACCGGAATCCTAAGGATTTGAGAAGTATGAGAATTTTTAAAAATTGTTTATGCAAACTCGGTAGTACGTACTAGATTCTGCGAAAGTGCCACGACACACACAAAATATCTTGATTTTATTTACCTTTTGATCTTTTTGATGTTTTACCGATCTTATTGCTCCAAAAAAAATTGGTAGCATAGCCATTATAATCAAGCTTCCATAAGCCACCGCGGCTCCTTCAGGTGAGGCTGGAGATTTTGCACCAGATACGCTATCAGTTGCATTCTCTTGCAATAGTTTTTCTGCCACATCTGCCATTTATAAATCGTTCGTGAATATTAGTTTTAATCACTAAATTTTATCAACTGAAATTCTTTCTTGTTGACAACAATATAAGAATATTATAATATTTTCAAATTTTATGAATGAAGTAGTTTTGTGTTGTTCACCGAATAAATGCCGATAAACACAATGTTCAGTGTTTGACACGCGAGCAGTGAGAGAGGCAGTTTCTTCTATTTCAATGAAAGTTGTTAATGTGTTAGTATGCCACACTATTGCCAATGAAGTGTATTGTTGGAGGTAATTTAACCCTTGGTTTACCATATTTCGTAACAAGTTTCCGAATTGTAGGACCTGTCTCTCATTGAATCACGTTGGGTTTCTTCTAAATAATTTATTTCCAGCAAATTATTATGTTAATTACATTTAATTTTTCAAATACGTAAATTAAGTATTATTTCATAGTGTTTTTAGAAGATGATTTTTGATTATATAGGAAGTTCGTGAGTATGCACGAATTTATCCGTGATTTTTCGTGATTTTCATAATAATTTATTTTGACATAAGAATCAAAAAGTGTTCAAGCTGTATTTCACACTTAATAAAAGTTAATAGTCAATTACTCTTTTTAAAAGATATGGGGTTCAAAAAAGATTTTATTTTACTTACAAAACCATATTATTGTGTCAACATATTATTGAGTTTATCTTATCTATTGGCAAAAAAAGCTCCTGGAATATGTGTATACTTGTTTACACCAAAGGAGTCCGAATGTGAACTAGATGGACGTGAAACAGAAATTTTATTTTTCTTGGCCATTGTTGTAATGATTAGAACAAGAAAAACGGGAAGTGTCACTATGATTAATTATCTTACATCTTCGTTTATTTATACGAAAATTGCAAATCTCATTCTGTGGGCATACGCAGACTATTTGTACGGTGTCATATTTGGTGTAGTCTTTATTATCACTGCATTAGTAATTCCAGAACCAACTTATTCTGGCCCAGAACATGTGACATATTTCCGTACGGAACATGCACTAGATGATGAACTAGAAAGTGACAAGAGAATTGTTTGGATAATTGCATTTTATACAGTTTGGAATCCAGCTTGTGTTAATTTTGCACCAATTTTCAGCGAATTATCAGCTGAATATAATTTGAAAAACTTTCGATTTGGAAAAGTTGACGTTGGACGATTTCCCGCTACTGGTAAAAAATACCACGTATCTGATAGTTCGTTAAGTCGACAACTGCCAACAATTATCTTGTTCAAGAACGGAAAAGAATTTTTACGAAGACCTTGTGTTGATGTCAAAGGAAAACTTCAAACATTTTTCTTCTCAAAAGATAATATAAAGGCAGCATTCATTTTGAACACTTTATACAAGGAGAGCAAGGAAAATGGAATCACTACTGATGAAAAAAAGCAAAAATAAATAACTCTACTAAACATTAGCAATCTCTTAATCTTATAAAAGTTTTCTTTTCATCGTATCTTTTCGAAGAACCAAAGTCAGATAGATATTTTTAAGTTATAAATAATCTCATGAGTTGATGTATTTGAAAATAAAGACAAACAGCAGACCTAAACACATTTCTTTTATTTATTGTTGATTTATATGTTATTTAATATTTATTCAGAATTAGTTCTTCTAATGACATCAGTGACATCAGAGACATCTAAATGTGAATATATTGTCTTGAAATTTCGAAAAAATAATAGTATTTCGAATTACTTGGCATGCAAGGTGACATGTAGGGAACAAAATTGACAGATTGTTCATCAACGCGTTTATTCGAGACTTCCGTCAGCAACATAGTTCTTTCCTCTCAGCATCATGGCCGATCAGGTACGTATTTTTAATCAAAGTGCCGTAAAAAGTAAAAAACAATGTAAAAAATGAATCACATACACTTCAAACGATGTGTTTAGTACAAAAAAGATTAGTTTTATATGAAATTAGTAAAAATATAAATCACGATCAATAAATTTTAAGAAGTTTTAATTAAAGTGCTATTCAAATTCCACGTGTTTACACTGTTTCAGCTTCTTTTCACATAGTGTACACTCATTCAAATTTTACATGTGTAGTATATCACAAAATATAGAAGATTGAAATGATGATAATAATCATGACGGTCTTCTGAATACATAAATGAGGACAAAAATGATTTATGTTGGAAATAACATTCTATTTTCTGATACTTTTTCTTCTATATTTTGTACGCAAACATAACCTATACCATGTAGGTGAAGACTATATGCACATACTGAACTCTACATACTTTTTTAATATTCATAATGTATTAATATTTGGGTATATCTTTATTGTAGACCGAACGTGCTTTCCAAAAACAACTAACAATTCCAGTTGTACGACGCAAGAATGTGTCGGGACAGCGCAAACTTCGCACCCGTCACTATCGTGAAGTTGGATTGGGATTCAAAACACCGAAAGAGGTAATTGATATAAGTTAATTTAGTTTACATTCAGAAGTTTCACTTCATCATGTTCTTTTTGTGATATCACTATTTAAATATTTACAATATTTCATCATAGGCAATCGATGGTACCTATATCGATAAAAAATGTCCATTCACGGGAAACGTACGCATCCGTGGCCGCATTTTGAACGGAATTGTGCAGAAATTAAAAATGCAACGCACTATCGTCATTCGCCGTGACTATTTGCACTATGTGCGCAAATACAGTCGTTTTGAAAAGCGCCATAAGAACATGTCCGTACATTTGTCACCTGCTTTCAGGTAATTAAAGGAATATTGTGTAATAAGGACAACTGAGAATATATCCATGTAACTAAATCTCAAAAAATCAGTGACAAAGTTTTTTAAATTTTATTTCATGAAATATATCGAAATAAAAAAGTGTCAAGAGATAAGTATTACTGTATAATGTGTTCAATTATATAACGTATTCCAAAAGATAAAACAAGCTCAGTAATCTGTTGTGAATACATCTTTTGAGTTCTTGATTCATCCTCATCGATGAAGTGAACAAAAATACATGGATATATTATCAACGATACATTCATTAATATTTTTTTTTTAAATGATGTTTTCATAATCACGACAGTCTTCATATAACAAAACTGCTGAAATTTCAAAATGAAAAAAAGCATATCTGATATTTTTTTATTATTAATTAGGATCTTTCGAAAAAAAGTCTGAGGATGAATAATTAATCGTATTTTGTACTTTACAGAGATGTTGAAATTGGTGACATCGTTACGGTGGGCGAATGCAGACCGATTTCAAAAACTGTTCGTTTCAATGTTTTGAAAGTAACAAAGGGGGCTGGATCTAAGAAAAGCTTCAAAAAGTTCTAAGCTATTTTCTTTCCAAAAATGTATTCCAGCAAATAACGAATAAATCAACAATCATCAATTTGATTAAGAAAATCAACAACTGTCTTTTTAATTTTATTTCATTTTAGTAACATGTTGTAATAAAAAAAATCTACTTTGAAATTTTCTCATTGAATACAGTTAAGACAACATGTGAATAAAAAATCGCTTTTGTTGGAAAGTAACTTGATAAAAATTTGTTGTACCTTTTTTATAATATTTTCAGACAATATATTGAGCAATCTAGATGTCTACAATCACAGTTACTGATTGCACTCTCACTCAATTTCGTCAAAAGGATGTCATTTATGTCATACTACTTTTTTTTTGAATGTATTTCACATTACAAATCAAACCATTTTTTTTTTGTATATAAACGATTAGTAACATATTTCAATGGGTAGACGGCGACACATACCTACTTACATTTTTTTCATATTAAACTCACATTTTGACAACTAAAATATTGATAGCTCATACCATAAACATGGAACTTGATCAAGTGGAAATAGATAAACTTGGTGAAAAGAAAATATGCGTTGGAATAGATTTAATTCAACAGTTAAATTGTTTGGATCATATTCAAGGTATCGGAAAAATACGAAAGAAAATTTCTACTGAGATTTCAACACTGCAAAATGTAAGAGTGATGTTTCAATGTGATATAAAGAAATCAAGAAATTGATTCCAAGTACTTTTTTTAATTACAGACATTAATTTTGAAGCGGCTGACGATTAATAATATTATATGTAGTAATTTAATACATTTTGCTTATTTAGTCAAAATTTTGAATAAAACAGAAAATGTTCAAGGGGTTGATTTTCCCATTAAAATACATGGAAGTCCGAAGGCATCAATTCGAATTGACATCGTAACAGACAATGGCAAAACATGGATAAAAGTAATTGCAAGAAATCCAATAGCTTTATGCGATATTGCATTTGGGCGCTCAAATTATGGTTCTAAAAGTGTTATCGATCATGCAAATAACTACATTGAAGCCGCAAGGGAAAATCCACAATGTTTTCAAATTCCAAAGGTATTTTTATTCAACATCGAAGGTTCGACTTTTCAGTATACTAAATTCCATTTTAATAAACAAATGCATTTATTTTCTGCAAAGATTATTTTTGATTTCGCAAATCAAATTGATGAAGAACTAAAGAGCTCATTGGAAAACTTGAATATTATAGTTCGCATTGATGGCAGTTCGCGAAATGAAATAAGTCAATCTGTTGACACTATTTCTAAATTAAACCTGGATGTAACAGCAATGATGGCTTTTGTATCGTCTTTAACTTGTGAGTCAAGTATGTGGGAATTCAATCAACCGATCTTATCTGAACAAGCTCAAGCCGAACGTCGCTCATCCACAAAAGCTTTTTTGGACAAAGTGTTTGAAGGTAGGTGTTATAAGTTTGTAAATTCACGTAACCATTAATTAAATTTGACCAAATTATGTTCAAAATAATTCAATATTAATATAATAATGAAATATTCACATGGATTTTGGATTTTGGTAATTACAGGCAAAGAATTAATAGCATGCACAACTGCGAAAGAGAGTTTTTTACGTATCTTAAGCGTAGTTGGAGGACCCAATGAACAAAAACGAGCAAAGAAATTCTTAAGATCTATTACAATACTACACGATTTGAATGAAGATGAAGAAGAATTTTTATGGTCAAGCCAAAAAAGTCGTTTATGTTTAGCTAAAAAAATTCAAAATCGAACATATAAAATATTTTCGTTTGGTATATATGACATTTTCGTATATATTATTTTTTACAAAATAATCCTAGATAATTGCTTTTTTCTGCTCATTTCAGGTATGTATCATAAAGCATTTACCGTTACGGCAAACAAAAGTGCAATAGAAGCGGCAAAAATGCAGGTAAATCATTAAAAAATTGAAGACTGAATTAAGTTCATTTCTAATTCTTATTTTTTTTTTCTAATTCTAAACAAAATCTATACAGGGTTTATCTATTCCAGCTATCATACATGAAGCTAGAGCTTTAACAGAGCAAAAACAATATACAGCTAAGAAAGTTTAATAAAAAAAGGATTTTTCCTCATGAAATATTAACAATAAAATAATAACTGCAGCGAACAGCGTTCCATCGCCTTGGTGGTATATATATTTATGTTTTCAATTTTATTTTAAATATTTTCCAATTCTCAGTTTTACTGTTGATAAATTTACTTCTAAATCAATTAAATTAGTATCACATTTTTTTTATAATATCCGTTCATTCTCCTTAGCGCAAAAAGTAAAAATTGTTTTTGTATTGACTCTATTCTTTTGCCCATATTGTCGTAGTGTGGATTCCAAGTTTCTGATCCACAAGATCAGCGTACATTAAGTACAAATTGCTGATGGACCAACTAATTGACGAAGATCCAAAGGAATTCTTTACGTAGGTTGCTCCATAATTTTTTTTAAAATGGTACTTATAGTGTTGCCCGATGTAAACCATTGTCATATTCGTAAAGTTTGATGTTTTGGTATGTATTCGTGCCCTGAACCTTTTGTCGTACGAACGCTATTTGTATTGTTTACAGTGACTGGTAAACTGCGACTCAACAAAAAAATGAATTTTACACGTGAAGATTTTCGTAAAATGATTTACTACGATTTTCGAAGTAAATTATCTCAACAACAGTGTTTCGATCGACTTCATTTGGCCTTTGGCAATGAAGCACCAACCCTTCAGACAATTTATAACTGGTACCGAGAATTTCGTTGCGGTCGTAGTTCGCTCAAAGACGAGTTTCATACAGGTCGTCCAAAATCGGCTGTTGTGCCACAAAACATCGATGCTGTCAGAAAACTGATTATGGAAGATCGTCATGTGACCTACCGTGAGATTGAGGCATCTTTGGGCATTTCATCCCACAGCATACATACAATTTTGCATGAACATTTAGCCGTAAAAAAGATTTGCTCTCGTTGGATCCCACATAAATTGACCGATGAACAAAAAATGGCTCGTGTGAGTTGGTGTAAAGAAATGCTCAAGAAATTCAATCGTGGTGCTTCAAAAGACGTTAATAAAATCGTCACTGGTGACGAATCGTGGATATATGCCTATGAGCCCGAAACGAAACAGCAGTCGACTGTATGGGTCTTCCAAAATGAAGATAACCCAACGAAAGTTGTTCGAGCAAGAAGCACTTCGAAGCGAATGGTCGCCTGTTTTTTCGGGAGAAGTGGTCATGTGGCAACCGTTCCACTAGAGGATCGTAAGACCGTCAATTCTGATTGGTATACCACCATTTGTTTGCCCGAAGTGTTTGGTGAAATAAGAAAAAACAACCACCGTCGCAAAATAATTCTTCATCACGATAATGCGAGCTCTCACACATCTTTTCAAACTACTCGATTTTTGACCGGTCAAAACATCGAACTGATGGGTCATCCACCGTACAGTCCTGACCTGGCACCCAATGACTTTTTTTTGTTCCCAAGCGTGAAGAAAAAACTACGTGGTCAACGATTTTCGACACCAGAAGAAGCAGTTGAAGCGTTCAAAACACACGTTTTGGAGATATCAGTTTCGGAGTGGCACGAATGCTATGACAAATGGTTTCATCGAATGCAAAAGTGTATCGATCATCTCGGGGAATATTTTGAAAAACAATAAAACCATTTTCGACAAAAAACAACTGTGTTATATATGTTTTTAAAAAAAATTATGGAGCAACCCTCGTAATTTCGTCTATCAAAAAAAGAACAGAAGTGATTATTTACCAGCAGAAATGGAATACAATGGTAACAGAGCTGATAATCGTTAACAAATTGCTGAAATGTTTGCCAAACATTTTTTTACGGCTTACAGTCATAATTTCTCCGAGTTTTTTGTACTGGGAAATTATGATCGGGGATATTATGTCCGCACACCCAGTCAGCACAATGATGATTGTGGATATGAGATGTACGACACACAGAAAATACAAAACATCTGTGCAGTGATTCCAGAAATTGATATCACCGAAGAACTAGTGTATGAAATTATATCTAAATTGCCATCAGATCTTGTCGCTGGTCCTGATGGAATTCCAAATATATTCATCAAAAATTGTTTAATATCATTACTAAAACCAATAACCAAATTACTAAAAGAATCACTTGAGTCAAACAGTATACCACAAATATGGAAAACTTCATACGTCCGACCAGTTTACAAAAGTGGTAACCGAAACAAAGTAGAGAATTATCGTGGGGTCGCATTGCAATGCATAGTTTCAAAAATACTTGATTTAATTGTAACGAGTCACAGATATCATTGATAACGATCAACATGGATTCATCAAGGGAAGATTAACGGTTACAAATTTAGCTGAATTCACTTCGAAGGTGCTTATTTATATTGGAAACGGCTATCAAACCGACAGCATTTATTTGGACATCGCCAAAGCTTTTGATTCAGTAAGCATTAAATTATTAATTCAAAAGTGAGACATCATGGGATTAAATAATAAATTATTAAAATGGATCGAATCGTATTTGTATGGACGTTGGACCCCATTGGGGCAACATTGTTCATCATGTTTGTCATGGATTTAACGTTTGCTGTAAATGATCAATGCATTTTATCATTTGCTGATGATACAAAACTGTCGAAATGCATCAAGTCATATGTGATTGTGACGCATTGTAAGAAAATTTGAATCAAATAGTAAATTACTTTGAAAGAAAGAAATTAAAATTGAACGTGAGCAAAACAAAAATGATTTCGTACCAACATTCACTAATATGTATATATGAATACAAAATAAACAACGAAATAAGGAGAGTAAACGTGATCAAGGATCTAGGAGTGCTGCTTGATGACCCATGGACTATCAAACGACTATATGATACTTTTGTTTTGCCGATCGTTGAATATGCATGCAAATCTGGAATCCATATCATAAAAAAAACAACCATAAGAATTGAATCAGTACAAAAACAATTCTTATTATTTACGCTCAGAAGGATGAAATGGAACAGCTTCAAATTGCCGATTTATGAACATCGTTTACTTTTTTTCAAATGATAACGCTTGAAGAGAGACGCAAAATTGCGCAAATATCTTTCATATTTAATATAATCAATGGGGATTTATCATCGAAACACATTGAGTTGCATGAGATATTATGAACCACAACACAACACTCGTTTATCACCATTGTTCAAATTGCCATGAAGAAGGAATGATTACACTTTGTATGAACCAATTAATTTCATGCTTACTAATTTTAATGATTTCTATTGCAAAACATAAAAAGACAGTAATAATAAATTAATTGATTTTGATGTTGAAATTAATACGGTCAAAAGGAGAATTGCAAATTATTTAAAACAAAATAGAGAATAATTTAGTATATTAAAAAATGGAATATTACCGAAAATTTTCACAATTTACAGATATATTGTATACATAAAATAAATATTTATTTAAATAAATCAGGCGAGGGAACGCTGTTTGTTGCAGTTATTATTATTATTATTAATTGTCCATGGGTCGACGAAATCCTTGCCGTAGAACCAAGCCAGCCTTTTTCTGGCATTTGCTATGTCATGCTCAATGTGTGGTTCAAATTTAATTTGCACGTCAAGCAACACTCCCAAGTCCCTTATTACAAAACATTTTCTATTTGAATGCTGCCTATGTTGTATTTGTATTCACACTGCAGTGATCCCCGATGATATGATATGATCTTTGTTTTGTTGACATTTAATTTTAATAAATTGCGCCCATAATAATCCGCTTCACGATCCAAGTCATTTTGAAGAATAATGCAATCATCTGTTGAGGTGATACATTTCGAAAGTTTTGTATCATCAGCGAATGAAAGAATGCATGAATTGGTCATGACGAAAGCAGATCAATAACAAACATAATGAACAATGGGATAGCCTTGACCCGTTCCAGAAGTTACTTCGATTGGGTCAGATTTGATTTCTGCAATCTTTACAATTTGTCTGCGTCCGGACAAATAAGATCCGATCCATTTTGATAGCTGCTCATTTAATCCTATGATGTCAAGCTTTTGAATTAGCATTTTCAAGTTAACCTAGTCAAAAGCCTTGGAAATTTCCAAACAGATGTCGTTATCGTTGACCTGTTTTTGATGAATCCATGTTGACTCTCGTGTACGATGATCATTAGATGTTGGTTGAGATGGTTTGTGACGATCGAATCAAGAATTTCCGATATAGTGTAAAGCAAAACCAGGATAGTTTTGAACGTTGTTTCTATCTCCGTTTTTGTAAACTAGTCTGTCAAAGGACGTTCTCCATATCTGTAGGACAGTGGCAGTCTCAAGTGATACTTTTGAAAGTTGATGATTTTGTATGGAATTTCATCAGGACCACAGACTAGATCATCAGATAGCATGCCTATTTGTTCACCAACAAGCTCCCCAGTTATTTCGATCGTTGAAATTCCTGCACAAATATCTCGTATATTCTCAATTTCTGTGTTGTCATCACTGACAATGAGACATTAAGCGGTGGAAAATTGTTTTGCAAAAAAACCAGCAATTATTGATTGTTCGCAAGAATTTATCATCCAAATAAGTCATCTCATTCGGCAGATCCTCACTTTTGAAATTCACTTGTTTGATCTATCAGCTTTTCCATTCGATTCTGTAATCTCTGAGAGCTTCGTTTATATTCCCTTCTTATTTCTTTGTAATGTTCTATCGATTCGATTGTATTTTCCCTTTTTTTAATTTGATGTGCCTCGCGGACTTTATTCCTCATCTCGATTAATGGCTTGTTAATGTATTGATATCTGCGTAATATATTTTTCATCATTTAATTTATGCGTAGCACTTCATTCCCCTTGTGAAGAACATATACTGTAATTATTTAAAGTCCTGTCCGGAAACAACGAAAATTCTCATATCTCCGTTCATGATCTTCAAAACATAACCGAAAATCAAAATCATCAAAATCTCCAACAAATTCACCACAAAAGGTCTATCAATCACAAATGTTCCATTCGAATCTAGGCGATGGTCATTACGATGATGTCGACTATGCCAATTATTTCGTTGATAATTTTCTTGTGGACCGGATAACTGTTGTGTTTGTCTTTTTTTTGTTTATTTTGTTTCGTTTGTCGTGGTATGTTTTTTGTTTGTGATGTTTTTTCATGTTGTCCTGTTGTATTATATAATACATATTATTAAGTTTTTTCGTAAACATTTCGTTGCTTTCATTCATAAAAAATAAATCGTCAAAAAGTCATTAGAAACGTATAATTTTTATACAATTATTCGAGCATCATAAAAAACGATCGTTATTGCACATATCACAAAGCGACGTTCAAACAATATTCATTTCACGTGCTCATCCTATACATGGGAAGTGAAAAAAACAAATGATGTACTTGTATAAGCGAAAATACAGTATGCGTAAATAAAAGCCGAAAACTGAACAGATCCGAAAAAATATATCAGTAAGCATTCGGTGCTTGGATATTTTGCACATGTTTCTAATATAAGCGGCACAACTGTATTTTTGAAATATATTTCAAAAACATTTTAGTGAATCGTGAGTCTAGTGAATCTATTTATAGCTTGAAAATTCGCTCAGATTTCCGATGCACCATTAGCATACTTTTAAAAGTTGTCCGTATAAAAACTCGAATGGTGAATATAAATAAATACATTGTTCTAATTGTACATTAGTTCATAGAGAATGTTGACCTCCAAATTTAAAGTCAAATTTAATGTGCATGTTTATAAAAAAAATGAATGAGTGAAAATATTGCCAAATACATATTTATTTCATACATTTTTAAAGAAAAGAAACTGATAATTCAACAAAAAAACTTTGTTAGCAGTTATAGTAATATTTTTGTGCCATAAATTTAATCAAAGGGAATATGATGAATAACGAAACCGTCGATTACGAAGACTCGGCTCGAAAATTACCAAAGCAGTTCAATTTCTGGAGAGGAATATATAATAAAGACAAAAACTACATTTTTGGGCGTACACCGAAGAACTGGGGTAATCTTCCATTTATTTATTTTTTTCATAGCATCCACTCAAAGGAATTGTTCGGAAATAATTTAAACGAAACCTAGAAACATTTAGAGCTGATCAAGATAAGTTCTTTCGAAGTTTTTACTTCTGTTTTGATTAGTAAGTAAGTTAATAATAATTCACGAGATCTTTGAATTTTTACATTATTAATGAAATTTACTCAAAAAAATATAATAATATTTCGATAGTAAATGCGATATACGAATATATTCTGTAGTTCGAATCGATATAAGATAAAAGCATTTCTTTTGCCCAATGTATACAAGCAATTATTCAACAACAGGAACTTTCAAAATTCAGTCACATTTTTCTTTGCTTGCGCAGGTAAACACTATATCAAAATATCTCTATTTCATCTTAAAAGATTCAAATAAAATTATATCATCTCATGCGTCATTGATCCATATTTCTAGTTTCACACTATTAAAGCAATTTTTTCGTTAATACACTTAATTAACACTTAGCTATAAATGAACTTTATTTATGAAAAATAGGCTAAATAAATATAAAATTCTTCATAACGATACTGATTTTTTGGGCAATTAAACTTGGTAAATTTGGAAATCATTATGCCGCAAACGTAAACTAACGAAAACGACATTACAACACAATCATTATTTAACGAACAAACAAAACTTGATGAAAAGTGACTATGAGTAGATTATAATGATAATACGAATAATCTAAAATTAACGGAGGCACATAAGACACGGACGCAAAAATTGTATAATCAGCTCCATGTGGTGAGAATATACAGTTCTTAGTGATATACACTTAGTGATATATAGTATGGTTCGATTGTCGGATAAAAAGCTGGCTTTAGTTATAATATATGGAAAAATATGTAAGATAAATATAAAATACTTCTTTAGAATTTCTCACTGTGACGCAATACTGTAAATCTGAAAATTTTCTGATATTCATTTTCAGTGACGCGTTCGTTCATATACAAACAAAATGTTAATATTGCGTTGCCTCAAAACTTAAAAGACACAAACAAAAGACGTGTTGAATGTCATTAAAAATCATAGGTAAAAATGTGCTGTTGTTATTGATTTCTATTATTTCCGTGTTGCTTACAGATGGTCATCTCTCTTGCGGTGAAAGAGGCGACGCAATATAAACATTTTGTATGAATATGAACGAATGCGTCACTGAAAATTTATGTCAGAACATTTTCAGATTTACAGTATTGCGTCACAGTGAAAACTTCAAAAGAAGTTTTTTATACTTATATCAATAGTTTTTTTAGTATGTTGATGACAAAATCCAAACGTTAGATTCTGTTTTCTCGTACCAAAAAACCCTTCGTACCAATTTTCATAGCAATTCAATGAAAAACAAATTTACTCCGAAATATCATTCTAAAGGTGGGTTCCAACCGGGAAAATTTCGAAAAATTGAACAAATTTCTGAAAATGGTTGTCACCTCGGGTCCGAATTATGTAAAATCAATAGTCAAAGTAAATCTACAGAGTAAAAACCTAGCTCATTGGAATTGATTACTAAGGAATCAAAATTCAGGTGGTCGTTCAAATACACATTTTGCCCAATTTTCACCAAATAAAAGTCTGTTGGCTTTTCAAAATGTGTGTATTAGCTTAAAATTGAGTGCACTTTCGATCTATGATGAAAAAGTCCAAGCCAATCATAGCCGTGGTCTATTATAGGAATTCCCATATAAATTTTGTGACCGAAAACACTGTCGTCCTCCCTGATTGCATTAAATCAAACTAATGTTTTGTGTTGCATCTAACAGATGGCGCTCGCATATTCGCAATAACAAAAATCCATTTAAAAAGTCTAAAAAGTACAGAAAAATAA